CCATTGCAATAATTCAGCTGACTTTCCCATAGCCGTGCCAGGGGTCAGTGTCAAATTCACCAAGGCATTTGGGTTCGCGTCATCCCCCAGACAATTGTGAGTTTCAGGTTTCCGTCCTATACTGTCTTACGGGCTTCCCAGCTGACCGATGTGTTACCTTTTCCCTGGCCAGTGGTTCAAGTAGCTCCAGGCGAGTTCTATACGGTGCGTGAGGTCGAGGAAAACGGATGGTGTCTGCCAGCTCGAGTACCAGCCAAGATCCCCGCCGTTCCTGATCATCCAGCAAGCCCTGGTACCCAAACGGGCCCAGTTTCATCACTCAAGTCGGTGAGATCTAGTTTGAAAAGACCGGCACCCAGCAGTCCAGTACAACATGTTAACAAGCGAGTTGCAACGTAAGCACTGCCTTCCATTCCATTCTCTATGGCTTTTCCTTTGATGTTGATTCTCTCTGACTATCATACCATTCCTTTTAAATGTTGTGCATCATGTTTGTCTAGGTCTCAAACAAGTACCGGAACAGTACCACTTGATGGGCCCAATCAAGTCTATTCCCCGTACATTCTTCAATCTATTTCCTTTAAACGAGTAAACTTTCTGACTATCTTCTGTGATCAATTTCTTTCAAATGATGGCCCTCCGGCTTGAATAGTCTTAATCCGAGTATTGGGTTAGTAATCTATGTTGTTTTTTCTCTTATCACTGTGTACTGATGTTTGTTTGGACAATCCAATATCTAGGTTTTCCACCTCTTTGGCTTCTACTAGCAATGGTGCGGTAACCAAGATGACCAACATATCTGAAGTGGCTCAGTGTCCCAACTTCTGGGCGATGCCGGTGCACGCGCTGTACGAGTGGCGAAGGCATGTCAACATCCTCGATCGCACCCTTCTGGGGTATTACGAGCAAGCTTTGGATGAGGCGGAGAAGGATTTGGACCGAGCGGCATCTGAGCCCGATGTTCTTGACACATCCATTGTAACTCCTTCTGGACGACCCTCAGCTCCCCGATCTGGTCGCAAACGCTCGGTGAAAGATGAGACTGCGGCTCCAGGCGGATCTGGTCCTGCTTTTAAGTTCCTAAAAGCACGACCTGACCGTTTGGATTTGCTTTTCATGCGTGCTTTGGAAGCTCTTAGCCCATTTGGGTCGAATGGGCAGAAGGGTAAAGTTTTTCATGAATGCGCCATCTGGCTAAAAGTAAGTCAAAATCTCGTTACTGTGTAGTTCACACCCTTATTGATCTTTTTACTGTTTTCAAGACTGATCTAGAAACCCATTGGGAGTTTGCCGAGCTTTCCGAAAGTCCCCACAGTCGAGTGCTTCAATTCCGATACACTCAGCTCAAGCTTTGGCTTGCAGCTGCCGAAAGCTGGAGCAAGATGGACAGTCTAATGTTCACT